CTTATTTAAATTACATTTTGAACATCACTTTTACTTTTGATAGATCAATCTGATAAATTCTTTCATTTTTTAAAAGATCACTTGTTTTTTTTTGTTCGCCAACATAATCCGATTATACTTCTACAGCACTAAACTTTATCGAGAATCCCAAAAATCTTTTTTGCACGGTTCAATTTGTAACACAGGTGTTCAGCAAAGGATCCGATTTGGAAGAAAGGTGACGACGATAATCCGCGCATACGAGTCCCCGTATCAATTTCCTTCCATAGAGAAAAGTGGAGAGGCTGGGGGGCACGGGCAATTTGACTCCGCCGTCACTCAGTGCCGCCTCTCCGCCAGCCTTTCCCCTTCAACTCTCACGAAAAACCTTCCAGGTCCCATAATGGCAAAAAGTTGCCGTTTTTTAAAGTCTCTAACCGCTTCAGCATTTGAAAATAGACGATTCTGAGTTTTTTTTCTAGAGCAAAGTATCGTGTTTAGGATTGAAGCTAGCTCTTGAATAGGAGCTAACTGATTTCTAGTAACAGAGTTTTTTCTAGAGCAAAGTATCGTAGCAAAGCATCGTGTTTAGGAATGAAGCTAGCTCTTGAATAGGAGCTAGCTGATTTCTAGTAACAGAGTTACTAGGAGTCCTATTCAAGGATCTCAAGGAAATAACGGAGTTACTAGAAATCAGCTTTTAAAATCAGTTCTTCTTATTTATAAAATTATTTATTTAATAAGTTTTATTTTAGAACTAAAAAGCTTGCAATTTGAATATTTTAAATTCGTGATGAGTGCTAATGGAATTTATTGCATTTCAGATGCATGCTCAGCCTTTTTTTTCTCTAGAATTTCGCTATTTTAAGAAAAATAGCACTATTCGATTTTGAAATCTTCTAAAGTCAACTTCTTTAGTCAAAGAGTTGAGTGTAGCAATTTGCAAATAGGTTTTATTGTCACCTAATGGTGATTTATTGTTTTAACTATGGCGGAGAGAGCTTTACGATCACTTATTTTTGTGTTGATTGCATATCTGGAGCTATTAGATTGGAAAATTGAAAGTTGAAACACTTTTTCGTATTTTAAACTGGTGACTATTTTACGGTTTCCAAGCTTTTGCAGAAGCTCAACACTCAAATCCCCCACTAGATCTCATCGTCAGCTACATTTTCCGACCCCACATCGATAGGTTCTGATAAGCGATTCTCGAGATTTCGAGGAATTTAGGCGACGCTCACGGTGCACTTCTATTAGATAGAATACGGTAATCTTTATTTATAAAATGGGACTTATTATAACGATTTGTTAACGAAAATTTGAATAAGCCGATTGTCAATTTGCTTTGAAAGCTTTAAAGATCTAAATTCAGCTATAAGATAAAGAAGATAAAGAAATTACCGTATTTCCTCTAATAGTAGTGCACCCCGGCGAGCCGAGTTGGTCACTATTTTACGGTTTCCAAGTTCTCACAGAAGCTCAACACCCAAATCCTCCACTAGATCTCATCGTCAGCTACACTTTCCGAACCCACATCGATAGGTTCTGATAAGCGGTTCTCGAGATTTCGAGGAATTTAGGCGACGCTCACGGTGCACTACTATTAGAGAAAATATGGTATAGTTTTTCTAAAAGTTCCTTTAAAAATGCATTTCTTTTGTAATGCTTTTGATAAAGCTTTTCATAAACTATTGTTTGAAATTTGATTGAAAAATAAAAAGGACGTAATTGAGTGTTTTAAGATAAACTTTTCGTTAAGCTACTAAACAAAACTAGAATTGCTTTTGATTTGATTTCATTTGACTATTTGATTTGATGTGTTTATGAGCAGCCTGAAAACAGCCTGACTTGGCCTCTCTCTTTTACCCATTTCTCCTCCCCTCTCACCGCCCATTCGTCATAAATTTTACACTGTTTTTTTTAAACATCAATACCCTCTCTCATGCGATATTGCGTAATTCAACACCCTCAACTTTTTTAGTTATCCATTTTTGTCTAAACTTTTTCTATTTTATATTTATATAATATTTAATTCTCTTCTAATCATTTTAATCATTAATTCCTTTTAAAAAAAACTAAAAAAGAGACATTAAATAAAAATAGAAAAAGAAATATTAGGTTGATGCATAAGTCTTTTCGTTCATTTTCGTCTGCCGTTTCAAGCCAACAAATGCACGAATTAAACTACGGTTGATTTCATTAGAAAAAGCAATTATTTTTCTGCAAAATAACATTAAAACGGGTTTAAAAATATTTAATGCCTGGATTTTCTTGAGAGTATGAAGTCGGGTAGTCAAAAAGGGCTAACTCGATGATGCGGTTTAGACACCTTAGCTAAAGAAAACCTATCTTCGTGTCAATAGATAAAAGATAGAGAAAAAAAACGTTTGATATTTCGCCAAAATTTCAGAGAAATTCATTCAGCCAATTTTTCCGTAGAGTTTTTTATAGATTTTTACGAAAAAGGCGTTTTTCACTCTCGAATTTGCTTGAAAGTGAACCGAAATTCATTTAAAAAGATGCAAATTGAACAAAAAAACACTTTTTTTTATAGAGCAAACTATAGATTAATTGGTGAATTTGTTACTTTTTAACAGAAGTACGAAAAAAACGAAAAGACTTATGCATCAACCTATTAGAAAAAGAAATAGAAAAAGAAATAGAAATAGAAAAAGAAATTTTGAAGAGAGTCATCAAAATGCGGGACTACTTAAAACAGGCAACATTGAGCGGATGGGTCACAAGGGAAAGCTTCATTTGTATTTGAGGATGTGGGGAGAAGAGGGTCTTCAAGGAGCAAAGCATTGAGGGGCATTCATTTGCATGCAGCGGCTTGTTGCGCCATATTTCCCCTCATTGCAAATCCGTCCACCATTCCCGCATCAATCGAGTCTCATCTATCTATTCTACCCCTTATTTACTGACAACTAACCCAACAACTCTTTAACAACTCTTTAACAACTCTTTTTCTCTTTAAACTCTTTTTTTCCTCAACTCTTTTTCTCTTTAAACCGCTACTTTTCGCACAGTAACACAAAACTTAGAATTGAAATCCTCGAAACTGAAACTGAAACTGAAACTTACAACTGAACTTGTAGATGAACTAATTTTTTTGCCTTTATAGCGAACTTTTGAATGTTAAGCCTATATTTTCATTACTATTTCTATTGAAATACTCTTTACTTATGGATCTTTACTTGTAAAGTAACTCTGACATTACATTTTCAACTCAAAGCTGGATTTAGCTATAGTTTTTTACTTGTAAAGTAACTCTGATCTTATATTTCAATTCAACATTCAACGTAAACTTTACAAAACTGGCATCTCTAGCAATTCGGCTACTCGCATCTCTAGCAATTCGGCTACTCGCATCTCTAGCAATTCGGCTACTTGCATCTCTAGCAATTCGGCTATAGATCCTACTTATCTCATTCTGAGCTACTCCCTTTTTTGTGAAATTTGGAAAACAAAATGTATGGCAAGTCCGTCTTGTGCCCATCTTGTCCGGCCAACCGCATTTCCGTTTCGAATTTGTTACTCGACTCTTCTAGGCAGTCAAGGAGGGGAAACGGCTCTCGAGTAGGCCCTTGTCCTCTCTCACTTCCAAATTCTTATCTTTGCTGATTTCTTGATTCTTACTTTTTGCAGTAAAAGACTGAATTCAAATCAAAGTTTGGTTTAAACAATCTACAGTCGATCTTCGATATAACGAACTTCGATACAACGAAATTTTCGATATAAAGAACACTATTTTTGGTTGACCTCAACGAAGGGTTGACCTTAAAAATGGTCTTCGATACAAGAAATACTTCATCTTTTCACTATGAACTTTTCGAGCCGGTTCCTTGAGATTTGTTATATCGAAGTTCGACTGTAAATCAATCAAATCAAATCAAATCTCGAGCTAAAGTAGTCAAAATTTTTAATTTAGCTATTCAAAGCCTAGGTTTTTCTTTGTGAAAGAGACTAAAATCGTATGGTTAGACGAAAATGAGGGCCTCTTTTTATCCAAGAACGTTGTTTTTCTTCGAATCCACCAAGCGGAAATAGGGGAACGTAATTTGACTCTTTGGGCGCCGAAATTTCAAAGAAACTTTATTTTACTCTTTCCTGCAAAACTTTCCTGTTTTCATTATTTGGATTTCGATGAATGATTCCTCTAGAAGGGTTTTCAAGTGAAAAATCTCTGAGCATGTTTTTCTTTCTTGGCACCTCATGAGAGGCAGAAAAGAGGTGGAAAAAAAGATGTCTTTGTGTGGTTGAGGCATTAGTCGGATTAGAGGCGCATCATTAGCATATTCTTTGAGTTCAAGGGGCTCCGATTCCCCCTCGATTCCTCTCTATTCTTCTCTATTCTTCTTTATTCTATCGTAATCACTTTTCTATTTGCGCTCCTATCAAATCGCTGAGATTTTCGATGTGTTTCCAAATTGGGAAACTATTCCTTTATTGGATTTAGATCAAGAAGTTTCGTTTTTTTGCCTTTTGTCGAGATTTTCGTTATTGATAAATAGATTTTTATAGATTAACTGTAGAAAAATGATTGCTTCTCGTCAAAATCGATTAAAAATCTTTCCAATACGATTAAAAATCTTTCCAACCTTTCCAATATAGCCAAAGTTTACTCAATCATCGATCAGAAGAAAGAAATTACGTTTCCTTCCCCATTTTCTTCAACACAACTCATTTTTTTTTCTTCTCGAAAAGTCAAGAGATCGGGATATCTAATGGATCCACTCTCAAAAGCTAACCCACAAGCTCTAGACGAATACAAAATGCAAACAGACTGATGCAACTCTTCCGAAATGAAAGAGAGAGGGATGGTCCATCTTTCCTTTGCCCACTCCCGTCTCTCGGATTATAAACCTTTGCTATCTAGACCCACTTTACATAAAATTTCACTAATATAACCTTAAAAAAACTATATCTCATCTCTTTTTTTTCATATCTCTTTTGTAAATCTCTTTTGTAAATCGAATTTATCTATTTTCTTTCAGCGAAAAGCGATGTGAAAAAATCTGATGCCATCCCGATGCTGGATCTTTGAGCTATTGCTCATTGGAGTGGTTTGTTTTATAAAAATCTTTAGATTTAGATAAATATTAAAGGTTTACTCTTTGTGCCCGGATACACCGCGATGCATTGAACGCATTCGCGAGCTTGTCGCCGGACCGCGAACTTTTTGGTTTGGCGAGCATCGACGTGCACTTTGTCACCATCGGTAAGGGAAAAAAAAGAGGCAAAAGTTGATTTAAAAACAGAAATGCGAACCCAGTCGAGTGCTATTCACCTCCGCATCTTTCCGCTTTTCATTCACTCGGCAGTCGTCTCTTCCGAGTACGAACCTATCACTCAGAGTATTTGAGAAATCTCGAGATTTTCCCGCGAATCACTTATCGAGCGGCGCCAGGTAATTGGAAATTTCCTTTTTTCCTGAATTGTGTTAATTTTTGCAATTCATAAACAGAATATCATTGTATTGGGTTGGTGAATTGAAAACTGCCGGCTATTATCATATGTGACAGTTTGAGTACTTTCTTCAAAAGAAGCCCATTTTGGTGTCAATGGAAGAGTTGTAGAGAATCAAAAATCAAGCTTATATCCAAATTTTCAGAACGATTCAAAAACTGATTTTCAAGAAATGCGAAATTTACGAATTTTCACAAAACTTGCATTTTAAGCGAAACTACTAAGCGTATCTTTTTGGAAATTTGGCTATAAGCCTCATTTTTGATTCTCTACAACTTTTCTATTAACACCAAAGTTGGTTTCTTTTGAAGAAAGTGCTCAAACTGGGACAGCTCCAGTCCTCCATTTTTGAGTCTCACACTTGTCTCACACACAAACCAAAATCAAACCAAAATCCTACTACGAAAGAGGAATTCGCAAATTGCCTGTAAAATGGGCAGAAGTCGTCAATAATAATGGAAAATTATTTGGGATGAATTCATGGTTTTATGTTGAATAAATTTTAGTTCAAAGTCCCGCAGTTTTCAATTCATCAACCCAATAGTTAGGGTCAATTTCAAGGTTGATATCAAAGTTCATCGCAAGTATCGAGATAGATACCTGATTTCAAGTAGAGATCTAGATAAGCTGAATATTCTAGTATTTATAGATTTCCTGTAACTTTACCGTAATGCATTTCCTATTTGAGAGCATTTCCATCAAACTTTGAGCGAAAAGCAAATCAAATCCTTTATTCACCAACCCAATAGTATCACCAATTTGTATTACCCTCCTTCTTAGCGTTGCCTAAAGTACCATTTTTACAATCAAATTTAGATTTTAAGTCTAGTACTAGTTTAAGCTACAGGATAACTCCGATTTTTCCGCAAATTGCCTGTAAAATGGGCAGAAGTCGTCAATAATAATGGAAATTATTTGGAATCAATTGATGGTTTTATGTTGAATAAATTTTAGTTCAAAGTCCGGCAGCTTTCAATTCACCAACCCAATACTAATGTAAATTGAAAATCATATTCCCCTATTCAGGAGAATATCGAGCATGTGAGCATGATTTTCGCGTGAAAAATGCATCAATTATTGAAGGCGATCCAGACATGGCACCAGTGGCTCCATTTTTGTAAGTTTCGTTAATATTTTTTCTTTCATTTTTAAAAAAAATCCAATTTAAGAGTGAGAAAAAAGCCGGAAATCACCTGGCATGGCTTGGATTATGATGGCAATTTCACGATTTTAATGACTGATGTCGGATTTGGCACCCTCAACTACTTGGTTGTCGATTTTCCAAGAGTACCAACGGTAGGGAAATCTTTTTTTGATGATTTTGATGATTTTGAATCAGTTTACATTTTGATTTTGTTTCAGATTTTGAAAGAATATGAAGGCTGTGACAATTTCCGACCTCAACCGAACCCAATGGCTTTAGTGGTTTTCAGAAAGCCAAAGAAAGTTAGTTGAGAATTGTATATACTAAAGTATAGATGTCGATAATTTGATCTATCTAAAATTATACACGTTTAATGTTAAAATGTTTTGAAATGTTGATCGGATCTAAATAAATTTTATGCTCATGCTTAATGATCGGATTAAATAAGCTCAAACTTTAGGAGCTTATCGTGCCAAAAGGGGAAAATTTCAATCTCGGTGATTTTATGCTGCAGAATGATTTGGCTGATGGTATGTGGCTGAAGGGGCAATTGAAAGGGAAATCAACTTCAGATCTGATCGGTCTTTCTGTGGTTATTGTGGGTGCTGATCCTTATGCAATCGAGCGACAACGAATGAGAGGACTCGCCGACAATTGCCATTCACTCATCAAAAAGAGTTTGTTCTCTAAAAAAAGATTGAATTACTAGTTCTTACTAGTTCTTACTTTAGAATGACTAGCTCTTACTAGTTATTATATTAAAATGACTAGCTCTTACTAGTTATTACTTTAAAATGACTAGTTCTTACTTGTTATTACTTTAAAATGACTGGTTCTTACTAGTTCTTACTTTAGAATGACTAGCTCTTACTAGTTATTATATTAAAATGACTAGCTCTTACTAGTTATTACTTTCAAATGACTAGTTCTTATTAGTTCTTGCTAGTTATTACTTTTCATTAACTATTACTAGTTATTACTTTAAAAATGACTAGTTATTGCTCGTTTTTACCCTTTAAATTCTAGTTATCACTTTAAAATAGTTTCCCTTTCAATTCAAAATCAAAATTTTCCCAAAATTTCTTGCCTTTATCTGTACTACCAAATCATTACATACATATTATTGCTTTCTAATGACCCTTTTCGTTTGTGTATGTATGAATTTGTGTCTTAATCTTTACGCACTTTATTTCATGTCCTGAATAAAGTATAGACCGTAAAAACTCTAATAGAATGGCTCTCTATAGGACCGTCGTGTCGTCTAAGTCCACTCTTAAACAAACGCTCATATCTTGCCACCAATACGTTTATTTCTGCGCTTTTAGATATCAAATTAAAGTAGAAAGATAGGGGAATTTTGTGAGATATAACACAGATTTTTAGCATTAACCAGCACTTAGAAAAACATGATTGAAAATCGGCGAAAATCAGCTCTTGTTTTGCGTTTGTTTGAGAGTAAACTTAGACTACACGATGCTCCTATAGGGAGTTCTCTAATAGCCGTTCTATTAGAGTTATACATATATATATAGATCTATACCGTAATTATTCTATATCTATATATATAGAAGTGGTTCGCTCTCCACCATCGAAACTCCTCTCTCGTTTACCCCTAGAGGAGGTGTCCACGTGGTTGAGTGTCGGCTACGATCATCCTGCGCTTGACATCAAAGTTTGCTGTCAAAAAGTTCAACATGAGTGAGTTTTTTCATTGAATATTGAAATCATTTCGAAATCTAGACGTGAGCGAATCATGCTCGATCCACTCGGCGACTCGATTGTTTCCGCTTTTGCCACTTTCTCACCACCAAGCATATCTTCGCTAAAAGTGAGTGCAAAGAAAAGAGTCATTTAATGGTTTAATCGATTTTCAGGTACCCCAAACAGCGTACACGAATTACCATCGAACGGCCCGGACATTTGTCGGTAAGGGAAAATGTTTTGAAAGAAATAATCTTGAGAGCTAGCTTTGATGGATGAGTTGTACACGGTGCTTCTGCTCGACGCGCATACGGGGAAATTGCATTGGATGGTGGTGGATTTGATGACAGCTGATCTTCTTGATGATGCCTCTGAGAAAGGAAATACGGTTTGTTTTCAAAAGATATTGGAAAGAAAACACTGCTATCTTTTGGTTTTGGAAACGAATTTTGACAATGATCTGTTGATCAATGGTTTAGCTTAGTGGCTTATTGTTCTTTACAGTTTACATAAAATGACCTGAACACTATAATTCTTAAAGGTTTAGAAAGCGAGCTATATTCATCCAGCTCCAGCTGATCCAGCTCACTGCTGGCCTTTTGTTTTTCTTCTCTTGGCTCAACCACGTCCCCTACACTCTATCGACTCATTTTGCATCAATGAATGTGAAGAAAGAAATCGATTTAAGTAATGCTTTAAGTAAAGATTATAGTTTATAGAGATTATAGAGATTATAGAGATTATCGTTTAATTCAAATACTTTTTTTTTAGCTTTGAAGAGTTTAAACAGCTGAACGGACTTCGATTGTCTGCATTTTCTTGGATGAACAGCTGCTATGACCTCTCATTTGCTCACTATGTATGAGAATTTTAAAGATTTAAAATTTATTTATAATCTAATTTATGTTTTAAAAGTTTTAGAATAAATTTTAACGAATTCAATTAATTTTTTTTCTTTTTAGGTCTTATCACGACAAGCTCTTTCGATCTCAAATGCGACTTTCGCTCAAGAGAGAAATGCTAGGTGAGATTGAAAAGCATTGAATAGCTTGCATAACTTGCTAAGGGAAATTCTTTTTCAAAATTTTACAGACGATCACTGAACAAGGCGTTACAAGGCGAATCGCAACGAGTGTGCCAAGCGTTCAGCGTTTCACCCACTCAAAAGTGCTCCATTTCGCTCACCTCACTCACCACTACTTTCCCAATTTTCTCGTCAATTCTCATTTCGATCCTTTTCCTTTATCTTTTATTTTGAAAATCTCTTCTTTCAATTTCAATTTCAATTTCCATCAAAGTCATATCCAACTGGTAAATCCATGATTCTTTCTAGAGTGTTTTCCTCACGAGTAATGCGTTTTTTTAAAACGCACACTTAGGAAAAATTACCGTACTTTTAGAGGAAATTATTGCAAAAAATTGGCGCAAAAAAACGGAATAAGCTAATTTCCGCAATTTTTTTTGCGCAACTTGCCATAACTTTCTTCTAAGTGGACTAATCTTCATGATTTTGGTTTCATTTTGTAGATCCCAATAAGTGCAACAAAATGACACCAAAAGATCAAGAAAGGTAGAGGAGTGGCTTTTTTGCCATAACTTTCTTCTAAGTTGACTAATCTTGATAATTTTGATGTTATTTTGTTGCACTTGTTAAGATCTAGAAGATGACACCAAAATCATAAAGATTAGTCCAGTTAAAAGAAATTTATGGCGAGTTGCGCAAATGACCCTGTTGCGCCAAAAAAGTTGCGGAAACTAGCCTACCTCGAAATTATTGCAAAAAATGATGAGCAACCGCTTATATACGACTCCTTTTAAAGATATTCAACCGTTTAACTGATTTGGTGGCAAATTCCCTTCACAAGTAAAGATATTCAATTTACTCGACGTGTAAAGAGGATTTACTCGTAGTTACTCGACCAAAAACGTCGATTAATCGAGTAAAAATTACTCATGCAAATTCTACTCGAGTAATTACTTACCTACTCGCGAGGAACACACTCGAATTCTTTCCCTATTTGTCATTTCGCTTGAAATTTTTTATAAAACTATTTATTTCTAGAATTTTTAAATAGCAGCATCTTTCTTGCAGACATAACGTGCGATTTTGTCGTAATTATTCCATGGCCACCACCAGGGAATTTCACAACCAGGATCATTCAGAATCTAGACAATTTGGCTTACTAGGAATGCTTTTCGATTTACACCTCGGCTTTGAGTACCTAGCACATTCTTGTTCAGTTTTTTCTTGTTCTTGTTCTTGTTTCTTGTTCTTCCAAGATCTTGTTCAGTTTTTTTTGCGCTGATTCCAATGGTGTATTTCGTTTGGGGATGACGGTTCGAAAAATCGAAGATATTTAACTTCAAAGTTTACCTCAAAATTTGGTATCCACGATTTTCTATAAATTTTTGGTTAAATACACAAAGAAGAACAATTAACAGAAAGTAAAAATTAACTACAACACGTTTTCTATTTCTAATGTTAAAATAGAGTTACGCGATATTTAGATAACCAAGAAGCCTGAAAAAAAAATGATTTAAACAGTTTTTTAGCAATAGTAAAAAGTTGAACCGCAGCCAGACCTGAACCAGGGACAAAAGAGCGAGAGCTCTAGGCCACTATCCACTAGGCCACTGTTAACACCCCTCTCTAGAATCCTTATGACTCGTGGGCGCACGGTTTCGTGGATGCTCAATTTTGAGGTAAACTTTGAAGTTAAATACCTCAAAATTTTCGAACCATCATCCTCAAACGACATACACCATTGGAATCAGCGCAAAAAAAAACTGAACAAGATCTTGGAAGAACAAGAAACAAGAACAAGAAACAAGAACAAGAACAAGAAACAAGAAACAAGAACAAGCAAAAAACTGAACAAGAATGTGCTAGGTACTCAAAGCCGAGGTGTAAATCCAAAAGCATCTCTAGCTAGTGAAAAACTCGATTTTTCTTTACCCCGTAAAATGTATCCATTCCGTAAACGTAGGTGTTGTTGTTGAAATCGACCTAGGCTTGGAATAATGATGATAATTTACGGCTAACTTACCGGACTTCCATCGGTCCACGCCCAATCTTTGGTGGTCGCGTTGAACTGCAAGCCAATCCACGCCTCAGCCGGCGTACACCAAATCGAATGCTCAGCTGACACCAATTCTGTAAACAATCCGATAATCAATCAGTTTGAACATTCAAAATTTAACCATGAAGAAAAGTGTTTTCTGCATCTGAATGAATCGATGCTAAATGAGCGCCCATCTCGCGGCACAATCGTTCAGCTGTCGTGAAATTCCTCGTCACAAAAGGTGGCTGCTCGTTTGGGTCCAATGGATCAAAATCCTGAGAACTTCTTTAAACAAAAAAAAAATGATATAACCTTGACAAAATAGCATTTGTTAGTGGTTGGATAATAAGTCCAATCATCATAGCATGGATTATCTAGAATTTGTTGGAAACATCTTTCACAACTATTACCAATGGCTGCCAAAGAACATATGAAAGGGGATTTAGCAAGACAATCAACTGTTTTCCATTTTGATGTGCTTGGATCAAGAAGAGCACAATCCTTGCCAGCGCTCGGCTCACCTGGAAGTAAAAATAACGACAGCCGTAATCTAATGAAACTTTGAAAGTAGATTTAATGCTATTATCTTCATAACAGCTGCAGTTTTACAATAGTATTAGGTTATTCGGAAATAAATGAGCGTTTTGTATTGTTTATTATTTGGGTACATTTTTCTCAATAAAGTATGTTCTACAGAGTAGATTTAATGCTTTGAAAGTTGGGTTGGGGAGAATGAGTCGGCGCCCAACTTTAAAGGGACTTTGCACACAAAAGCCTTCTTTAAACATACGTTTGGTTCAAAAGGATCCACTATTTCTCTACAAAATGACTTTTGAGAGATTCCACAAGGTTTCTTTCGTCGAGTTTATGACTTCCAACGCAGCTGGTTAAAATGGCAAAGAGTCCGACCATCATTGAACAGTTTCTTTCACAAACCTCTTTGGTGTTTATAAAAAGATAGTATCTTCACAAATTCAGGAAGACCCCATGAGTGTTTGTGAAAAAAGCTTTTTCTTGGGGGGGCGCTGTTTGAATTTTTTTTAAAGTCATTTTGAGAGTAGTTAACCACTACTGATATAACGCTAGCGAAGAACCAAATAGATTTAATGCTAGTATCTTCATAATAGCTGCAGTTTTACATGTTATATACCATTTGAAAGAGGATTTAGCAAGACAGTCAGTTGTTTTACATTTTGATATGTTTGGATCAAGAAGCTGAGTTCGCGCTCACTTTAACCATACTTTTAAATTTTGTTAAAAATGAAATTTGCAAAAATCCGCGAATTTTAAGCTTTGCCGTTTTAGATGTCCGAAACGAACTTTCGCCAGATTTTCTTTTATGAGTTCAAACTCGATCGCAATGCAGCTGAAACGGCTAACATTAACAAAGTTTGGGGCCAAAGCAGTGTCGGCCAAAGCAGTGGCAAAGTCAACGGTGCGAACTTGGTTCCGAAAATTCCGAGCTGGTGATTTTGATCTCGAAGATAAAGAAGGCCATGGCCGTCCTGTTGAACTCGGTGACGGCGAACTGACCGGACCTAAGCCTGAGCCGACTACCACTTTTTCAAGCACCTCGACAACTTTCTCTAGGAGAAGTGCTTCAAAACTCAAGACAATGCCAAAAGCGCCTTCGCCGACTTTATCGCCTCCAGAAGCCCGGACTTCTATGCTACCGGCATCAATAAACTTGTTTCTCGTTGGCAAAAATGTGCTAATTGTAATGGTTCTTATTTCGATTAATAACGTTTTGTTTGGATCAAGTTATGGGATTTTAAATATCCGAGTTGAAAACGCTCATTTATCTCCGGACAACCTAATAGATAATCAAGTAAGAAACTGGTAAAGAAAGCTTTCCGGAGATCTCGATGAAAACAATACCTGAAGCCCAGTTCTGGTAGACTAACGGGCTTCCATCCGAGTACGTCCAGATCCCATTTGTACCTCGGTGTAGCCCAATTAAAGCCGAATTTCCATCAAGTGCTGAAATATTTATTTATTATCATTTATTAGACTGCTTTTCAGAGTCAGTTATCAACGCTAAAGTCAACCATTTTGCTCAATTGCGACGAGGAAACTGTTGATGAAAGCGTTTTCGATTCTCACCAAATCACCGCCTTTTCTCAGGCACACATTTGCCGCTTGATCATATGTATCTTCTAAATTGTTAAATGTTAAATACGATTAACCAATTCAATTCTTCTTACTTACCTACTTCTTACTTCTTACTTCTTACTTCTTACTTACTTACTTCTTACTTCTTACTTCTTACTTCTTACTTCTTACTTCTTACTTCTTACTTCTTACTTCTTACTTACAATTCAATTCTTCTCTTACTTTCCGTATGCACATCAATGCAAATGTTTTGTCCAGGTATTTCGGAGGTTCCGGGTGGGCAAAAAGCAGAAATCAAATCAAAAATAAGCAAAAAAATAAATAGATATGTGAAAAAAGTCGAAATTTTCATGATGGAGTCTAGAATTTTGAGTAAAGGAATCACTTTCTAGACTCTCGAATCTCTTATCTCGTAACTTTTATGTGTCCATTCGCACCTTTAAAACATAAAAAAACTTCTCGAAAATGTGATGAAAAATCGTTCAAATTTGTATTTCAAAATTTGTCGATTTTTACGATTTATCTCTCTCATTAAGCTTATTTTTTTTTGATAATCTAATCGGTTTCAATTTTTCAGGGTTTTTACGATTCTATTTGACTCTCTAGCCGATATTTGCACTATTCACATTTGAAATTGAAATTGTTATGCTAAAATTGCTTTCTTTTAGATAATGACGTTGATTTTCTTTGCATTTATGCTCTTCATTATTAGGATGAACGGTGAAAGGAACCAAATCTGTAGTGAAAAGGAACCAAATCTATAGAGAAGAGAAAAGAAACCCAATGCTGTTCTTTAAAGTCTAGTCTTGCCTCTAATGTTAGATAGGGTTTTCTGTCATCCTTAGAGTTTTCCAAAGCTGTCAGTTTTCTGAAAGCTACCGTTTCTGAAAGCTACCGTTTCTGAAAGCTAAAGCTAGTGAAAGCTACTGCTTCTAATTTCTCTTGATCTATCTACTTTCTATAATAAATCCTTTATGAAACTTTGTAAAATGTTACGCTAGTTTCCACGTTTTAGAAAACGATTTTCCTGAGTCATACTCTAATTTCGAAATCTTTTTAGCTGCGATCCATTCGCAGCTTCGGGATTTTAAATAGTATATAATGCAATAGGTTTTGTAGCTATCATACTGTGACTTTATCAAGAAAATTAATCGAATAACCATTTTCCTCTTTTAGAAACGAAAAGCATAGCCTGGTTCAATCTTTGAAACAAAAAGGTTTTATATTAAATTGAGATGTGAATGAATGATGATTAATTTTCGATACCTAATAACTTTTATTCAATTCAACTGAAAAAGAATACCGGTATTTTGTGGAGATCAATGTTATCAAAAGGAAATCGGCACGATAAGTGATTTTTCTTGACCCGAAGATTCAAAAATAATAGAATTGAAGTGAGAAAGGCAAAGTGAGAGCAGTGGATCACAGTGAAATGAAAAAAAAATTCAATAGAAATTCCCGTTACAAGTTTCTTTTACGCGTTCGGCGTTGGACATTGTTTTTTCGTCTCGGGATACAGTCGATCCATTCGTTGATTGAATAGCTTCAATGCGGTCCAGAATCTTGAAATCATATTCAATATTTTACCGATTTCTTGTCACTTACCGTTTTCCGTTTTCTTTCTGAACGGCTTTCGCGAAAACCTGCTTGTCTGAGGCGAAAACTTTGATTCCATGATGGTACATGAAGTGTGAGGAAAGTAAAGAGAATTGATATCCAGCACGGCAGAGCTCCCATCGCTGTAATAAAGTCAAAACGTAAATGATAAAGAATTTGGAAGCAAGGTGGCATCGAACCCCCGACCTTTCGTAGTGGCCTCGGCTTACCAAACAGATTCTCAACCACTGCGCTATTGAAGCCTGTTTGGGCCAAGAAGAAATAGGAAACAAAAGGAAGAAGAAAGAAGTTTAAGGTTATTTGGTTCTTGGTAGGTTTGTATTAATTTATGACCAACCAGAAACCCGGTTAAAAGCGGCTTTTTCTGGCTCGAAAGTTTGTAGCCATGGCGTAGTGGGTAGCACGCTGGTCTAGAGCCAACACGGTCCGGGTTCGAACCCCAGAGGTTTTACCAAAGTTTGTTTTCTTAACAAATTCTTAAAATGGCACAACTATAATATATTCTAAGGTTTTATAAAGAAGTTTTAGTTTAATTGGTCAAAAAACCGTACCGTAGAAACCGTAGAAAATGACTGTAAAGAGAGATAGACAGACAGATAGACGGACAGACAGACAGACGGACGGACAGACATACAGACAGGCAGACAGATAGACGGACAGACAGACAGACGGACGGACAGACATACAGACAGGCAGACAGATAGACGGACAGACAGACAGACAGATAGACGGACAGGCAGGCAGACAGATAGACAGATAGACGGACACTGCTCTTTTATCTATTGTAGACACTTTAATTCTTCCGTAGTGATTTTTTGTTTATTTCTATCTTGTTTTCTATATTTATATCAATATTTATATTTATTTACATCTTATTTCACCAACCAAACACGTGTTGTCTCGAATTTGATAAGGGAAATGTTCATCGTGTAGCGGAATGGTGGCCAATGAAACGAATTGGGGTTCCCAATTGAAACGATCATATCTAGGAAATGTTTTTTTTGTTTTTTTTATAGATAATTCTCTCACTTCATAACAATTTGCGAGATACCAAATGTGGAATTCTCTTGCAACCATTTCTCGAGTCCATCAATCGCATGCGCATGCCCATAATAAGCCGCATGAAAAACGATAGCTTCCTAAAAGTTTTAAGCATATTATAACTTGTATAACATTTAAATAAACAGTTTTAATTTGAATTTGAAAATTATCGCTAAGTTTAGTTCTATGTAAATGAAAAAATAGGGAAAAACAGGGAAAAACAGGGAAAAACAGGGAAGAACAGGGAAAAACAGGGGGAAAACAGGGGGAAAACAGGGGGAAAACAGGGAAAAACAGGGGAAAACAGGGGGGAAAACAGGGAAAAACAGGGGAAAACAGGGGGAAAACAGGGGGAAAACAGGGGAAAACAGGGAAAAACAGGGGAAAACAGGGAAAAACAGGGAAAAACAGGGGGAAAACAGGGGGAAAACAGGGGGAAAACAGGGAAAAACAGGGGAAAACAGGGGGAAAACAGGGGAAAAACAGGGAAAAACAGGGAAAAAATTTGAGCTTACCTTCTTGGCCAACATATCCGTGAGTTCGTTTCGATTCTTTGGCACTCTAGAACTTTATCTTTCAAAATGATCAACCAATTTTGTCTACCTGGTTGATGTTTCGTTGACTTCAAATATCCTATAGACAAGTAATTGCTTTGGATTTATTTCCAAAGCTTTCTCTGCTACCTGAAAACATTTGAATAAATTAGTTGAAATAAAAGAGTTGAAAATTTGAATAAAATAAAATTCAAACCTTTCGCACATCTGCCTCAAATTTATCGGAAAACATGTGCTCATAGTCGGCAATCACAATGTATTTTGTCTCAGAAAACTAAAACTTTTGATTGTTTTATATAGTTTTTCGATAAACAACCATTCTGGCTATATTTCGAATGACATTTACTGGATATGAGGCAGTCGCTTCCACGGATTTCTTCTCATTTTTCTTTACGCAATTTACTTCATTCTCTTTGGGATGAAAATCGGAAATCTGTAATATAGATGATAAGAAATGGCAAAGAAAGATTTCCGAAGAGGGGATTGAATCCTCGACCGGGGAGATTTGCTTTCCAGATAGATGCTCTAACCATTGAGCTATTAGGGATCTTGCTTGCCAGAGAGGAAAGAAGAAATATAAGGGAGAAGAGAAAGAAAGAAAGAAAGAAAGAAAGAGAAGGAAGTGTAGTAATATGAATCACTCAAAGCTTGTTATGACCATAACAAGTTAAAGCCATAACAAGTTAGCCATAACAAGTTAAAGCCATAACAAGTTAGCCATAACAAGTTAAAGCCATAACAAGTTAGCCATAACAAGTTAAAGCCATAACAAGTTAAAGCCATATTAAAGCCATAACAAGCTTTGAATTCGTTCAGTCAGTGACTTTTTGAAGAGAATTATAGGAACTATGGTTTAAAAAAAACCTATTCTAAAGTAATAGATTAGAAAACGAGTCTATGAATTGAGTGAAAATACATAAAAAAAACTCACCCCACAATCCCCATCCTTGTCTTGAGCATAAACAAAATGAACGCGAAGATGCTCGATGATTGCAGGTCGATTGGTGGCTAGTTCTTTTAACTGTAAATACAAATATTGCTAGAATACTGTTTTGTAAAGTTTTAGATTTGAATCGAATTAGATTATCTACAAATTCATCATCAGATCAGAATAGTCGAATATCTTTTACTCACAAAAGCGCGCAAGCAGGAGAACTCGATCTCAGGACGCTCAAGATAAATCGACAGTGAGACTGGGGCTTTCCAATTTTCCACCTAAACATTGTAGAATTGATTTTATTTATGAAATTTCTTGCTAATTTCCATCTATTAATGCTTTTTTTGTAATTCTATGACTACAAGAATTAGTTAGTTAATGACTGTAATAATTACATGATAGTATTGATTTTTGTTAGTTAAGAGATTGATTTATATCATTGACTTGTATGAAAGTACAAATCAATGATATAAATCAATGATATGAATCAATGTACAATGTACAAATCAATGTACAATGTACAAATCAATGCACAATGTACAAATCAATGTACAATGTACAAATCAATGTACAATGTACAAATCAATGTACAATGTACAAATCAATGTACAATGTACAAATCAATGTACAATGTACAAATCAATGTACAATGTACAAATCAATGTACAATGTACAAATCAATGATATGAATCAATGTACAATGTACAAATGTACTTGTGACTTTAAAATACAATCCTTATAACTCAAAATACTAGAAATACTAGAATTTTAGCTTTTTCTAAAATGCATTTTCTCTCACAGATTTACAACACATAATATTTCCTTACTGCTTTAGTACTTTGATGGTTACAAGGGTTATACTTTGGAGGTTACAAGGGTTATACTTTAAGCTAAAGGGTTGTATTTTTTTTGTCAAAGAGTACCAGTCCATTGTTTAAAGCTTAAAGAATATAGATATATTGATTGCTTAAAGAATAGTCGTAGCCGATTATGAATGAAATTTTTATTTTGCAAACCTTTCTAGTAGATCTACCCTTTAATGTGTACGGAAAATATTATATCATTTTTTATAATTAAATTATTCCTTAAACATTATAAACACTTAAATTCCGCGTCGATTGGTAGTCGAAATTTGTGAGTTCAGGTTAAAAATTGCGGACACTACAACGTTTGATTCAAAATCGGCAGTAGTCAATTATGAATTTCAGCCGATTATGAATTTGAAGCCGATTATGAATTTGAAGCTGATTATGAATTTAGCCCATTATGAATTTGAAGCCGATTATGAATGAGTGGGTCTAGGCGTGTCAAACCATCAAGTGTTTGATATCATTCAACGAAGAATTCTTGATAATTATGTTAAATTTGATGAAAAGATTTGATTTGATTAAGATTTAATGAAAAGAAAAAAAATCAGAGCAAAAAAAGCTGTTTGTTCGAGAGAAAGCTTTGAAGCTCTGTAAATTTTTTCTTTTTTTACCAATCTTTCTAATTAAAAGCAAATTTAACATAATTAACAATGATTCTGCGTTGAATGATACCAAACACTTGATGTTTTTTGACGCGCCTAGACCCACTCATTTCATAATCATAATCGGCTGAAAAACATAATCGGTTGAAATTCATAATCGGGGGTAGGCTAGTTTCCGCAATTTTTTTGCGCAACAGGGTCATTTGCGCAACTCGCCATAACTTTCTTCTAAGTGGACTAATCTTTATGATTTTAATGTCATTTTGTAGATCCCAATAAGTGCAACAAAATGACACCAAAATCTACTTAGAAGAAAGTAATGGTGAGTTGCGCAAACGACCTGTTACGCAAAAAAAGTTGCGGAAACTAGCCTACCCCTCATAATCGGTCGCATTTGTCCCACTCCCCTGCCAATGAAAACAATCAATTACCTTTTGTATTGAATGGCATTTAGCTCCATAACTGAATATCTTCAAGCGTTATTTGCTCTATTTGTGGTAGGCTAATTTCCGTCATTTTATTTGCGCAACTCGCCATAACTTTCTTCTAACTTGACCAATCTTTATGATTTTAATGTCATTTTTTGTAGATCCCAATAAGTGCAACAAAATGACACCAAAATCATACAGATTGGCCTACTTAGAAGAAAGTTATGGAGAGTTGCGCAAATGACCCTGTTGCGGAAACTAGCCTACCCCCATAATCGGTTGAAATACATAATCGGCTACAACATATAGATTTATCGGTTGCTTAAAAAGAATCAACTAAATTCTGAACCTGATCAGCCAATTTCTCGTCCAAATAATCGGCACTTGTGTGCAAAATGAGAGCGATACGATCGAAATCGGTGATTGTATTGCTTTAATTTATATAGTAATTGATATAAAATCAGTTTTAGCATATCAAAAACAGTTGTTGAATACCTCAAAACATTTGGTCGAATGCAAAATTGTTTATATTTCATGATCGGTATTTGAAAAGCGGCTTCTCTGACGTTTCTAAAAAATCGTGGTCAATCTCTTTCCGAAAATCTCGAACTCAGTAATGGGAATACTCGATAGAGCATCTTTTTTCTGATATTCCACACAAATAAGCAATCCCATCAGTAAATAAATCGAAATTAAAGCGATCTGAAAATGAGATATGTAAAGATTTTCAGAAAAAAAAAATACTTTCGTTCGTCGTTTCCATCTTTGCATGTTTTCTGGTTGAAGAGCTGAAAATGGGAAGATCGATTGATAAGAATTCTTATCAGTGGCATTTTTAGAGGGGAAATTATGTGCAGCGTTATTTATTTTCAAATTTAAGCTTTATTCGCCAAAATTTTGGTTTTCTTCACTTGATTTCATTGAAAAAAGGAATTTTGGTGATTAATTGATATAGTAAAACTATTATAGCTTTCATGAAATCAAGTAATTCTTAAAATCAAACAGCTAAAGGGTTTTTATAGTGAAAAGAAAAAAATTGGGGTAAAGATATTGTCTAAGTGTAAATGCTTGAGGTTTAATGAATTCAGGAAGAAGAAGAAGAAGGAGAAGAAGGAGAAGAAGGAGAAGAAGGAGAAGAAGGAGAATAAGGAGAAGAAGGAGAAGAAGGAGAAGAAGAAGGAGGAGAAGAAGAAGAAGGAGAAGAAGGAGAAGAAGGAGAAGAAGGAGAAGAAGGAGAAGAAGGAGAATAAGGAGAAGAAGGAGAAGAAGGAGAAGAAGGAGAAGAAGGGAAGAAGGAGAAGAAGGGAAGAAGAAGGAGGGAAGAAGAAGAAGGAGAAGAAGGAGAAGAAGGAGAAGAAGGAGAAGAAGGAGAAGAAGAAGGAGAAGAAGAAGAAGGAGAAGAAGAAAGAAAGGTTTGTGTGGACTGTGTCGACTATAACTTCTTTTCCCTTCTTTCCTTTCTTTTATCTATTGCTTCAAAAAGCTTTTCTTAACCATGGTTACCGTATACTTAAGAATTTCTTTCTCTCTCTTTCTCACGTTAACGATTGATTGATTAAACAATAGCATAAGTGCAAGATAAACCACGGTAGCAGCTAAAAGCAGTTAAAAAGCTAAAAGTGAATAGTTAAAAGCTGTTAAACATCTAAAAGTGAACAGCTAAAAGTGAACAGCTAAAAGTGAACAACTAAAAGCAGTCAAAAAGTTAAAAGTGAACAGCTAAAAGCCGTTAAACGCTAAAATCTTTAATGAAATTTCTTTATATGTCAGTGATTGACTTAATATCTTTTAATATATCAATGTAAGTTTGATAAAGTTTAAAGATCAAAAGATAGACGATAAGAAGAAAAGTTTTCTTTACAAAACCTTTAAAAGTCTCAAAAGATATCAAAGGATAATAAGAAGAGAAAGAAAAAAAAGAAATCGTAATAAAAATTTCTAGTATTTCTAATATTTCTTATATTGAAAATTATAGACGTTCAATGATCTAGATTTGGAATTTCGGGAAAAATGGTAAAATTGACGTAAAGATTTTGAACCTTTAACAACGAATGACTCATCGTGACGACAGTTAAATAAATGCGGTACTTTATCTACGTAAATCAAAAATTTTCATAAATTCTATGACGTTTAACCAAGATTTTCTTTATAGTCGCTTAGAATTTGTCTCTCAAAAGTTAGTGAAGTGATTAATTGATCAATTCAATCTTTATTCGTTATATTGGGTTCTTCAGTTATGTCCAGTTCGTTATATTGGTTGTCCAGTTACTATTTTGCAAATTTCTCAAGATACCGAAATCAAGAAAAAGATATATATGAGTATTATTCGAAAGCTGAAGATCTCCTCTACATTTTGATATAAAAAGTTTTTGAATTTGTTCAGCTTTTGGGCAAATTGGCTGTACAGAAGAAGAGGTGGCCAAAAAATGGAAGGGTGTCTTTGGATCAAGTTCAACGCGCATTCATAACTGGACAACCCAATATATATATATATATATATATATATATATATGTTATGTCCGATTTAGACTCAGTCTAAATCAGACGTCCGATTTAGACAGTCTAAATCGGACATAACATATATATAGATACTTTATTCAGGACCTGAGATAAAGGGCGCTAGATTTAAGATTAATACACATGAATTCATACACATAACACGAAAAGGGCCGATAAAAAGCAACACAATATAATATATGCAATATATAGGTAGCACAGATAACGTCAAGGATCCACTAGAGCTTCAAGATCAAGATCAAGATCATCTACAGATAATTTAAAGGTTTCGAGACTATTGGACTCTCTCAAAACTCTGGGGAGTCGATTCCAAATTCTGGATGTTTGATGATCTATGACGTTTAACCAAGATTTTCTTTATAATCGCTTAGAATTTGTCTCTCAAAAGTTAGTGAAGTGATTGATTGATCAATTCAATATTTGTTCGTTAGTTTAATGTTTAAAATTAAAAGGTTTATAAGTGGATAAAGTTATGTAAAAGTTGTAAAAGTTCTGCTTTATAAGTGCTTGTTAAAATCGAATTTAATGCTGAAGATCTTTTGGGGATTATCGGAAAAGGTTTTGGTTGATGATCACCATAAGTAAACATCAAGTAAACAAGTAAACAAGTAAAGTTTCTTTCAAAACTACAAACAAAATAAAAAGACAAAGGAAATTATCAAAAAAAAAAGAAAATAAGGCTACCAAAGTGAATCATTTCACCAAAAAAGGTATTGGTCATCGCCCCCGCGAAATGATGACTGAATATTTGAAAAACAAAAGCACTCAAACCCCTTCATAAACCTCAAATCAAGTCATCTTGAAAGTCACCAAAAAAAAACAAAAAAAGGATTTTGGCACATCATAAATTTTTATTGAATTTACGCATCGTCTGATCGTTTTTTTTATTGAGATGACTTTTCTGGAGTGTTTGTTTCCGGGGAAAACAATGACAAGAATGATTTTTAATATAAATCAGATGAAAAGTATTAGGTTGATGCATGAGTCTTTTCGTTTTTTTCGTACTTCTGTTAAAAAGTAACAAATTCACCAATTAATCTATAGTTTGCTCTATAAAAAAAGTGTTTTTTTGTTCAATTTGCATCTTTTTAAATGAATTTCGGTTCACTTTCAAGCAAATTCGAGAGTGAAAAACGCCTTTTTCGTAAAAATCTATAAAAAACTCTACGGAAAAATTGGCTCAATGAATTTGTCTGAAATTTTGGCGAAATATCAAACGTTTTTTTTCTCTATCTTTTATCTATTGACACGAAGATAGGTTTTCTTTAGCTAAGGTGTCTAAACCGCATCATCGAGTTAGCCCTTTTTGACTACCCGACTTCATACTCTCAAGAAAATCCAGGCATTAAATATTTTTAAACCCGTTTTAATGTTATTTTGCAGAAAAATAATTGCTTTTTCTAATGAAATCAACCGTAGTTTAATTCGTGCATTTGTTGGCTTGAAACGGCAGACGAAAAGGAACAAAAACACTTATGCATCAACCTATTAGATATGTATACTTTAAAATAATTTAATCAACATATACAGAGTGTCCGAAAAAAAGTGGTCATCGATTTGGGTCTGGGAAATTTTTTTCGTTGTTTTTTCAAGGCTCATCGTCGTGTCAAATGGTTTTGTCAATTTAAAATCGTTTTGCCTCACAAAACAAGATAAAGTTGATCAATTTTTTTTGATGATTTTGTGAATGGGCGGTCATGCACATCAGTCGGGGAAGCACAAAAATCCATTTTGATCCAATTTTGATCAATTTTTCTTGTTGCTTAAAACCTTCTTGTTGCTGCTTACCCAGGACCGACTTTTTGCGGGTCTCTTATTTTCAAGATCCTAATATCAAAAAAAATTTATTGAAACAAAAAGTTGAAAGATTTGTGGTGCATAGAAGAATACAAAGGTGTTTTTCATGGATACATGAATTTTGAGCTTCCCCGACCCCGATGCATGACCAATTATCAATTATCATTCACAAAATCATCAAAAAATCGACTTGACCTTGTTGTGTGAGGCCTGAGGGAAAAACCAATTCTGACACGACGATGAGCCTTGAAAAATCAACGAGAAAATTTTCCCACACTCAAACCGATAACCACTTTTTTTTTCCGGACACCCTGTATTTTTGATAAGATAGATCTTACTTTAAGATAAGATAGATTCCTATAAGAGTTCACGTTTTTTTTGCTTTTTTGCTTTTAAAAATCGATTTTTTGTCGAAAAACAAGAAAGAATTCAAAAATTTGAAAAAAGTGATAAAAGAATTCGGTTTTTCAGAATTATAGCTAAATTTTTGACCAAAAGATTTACCATTTGAGAACTTTGGATTTTTGGGGCTTTTTTTGGCTTTTCAAAGCGATTCAACGTTGACTAACCATAAAAAAAAGCAGAAAGAGAAAAATCTTGGTTCAAATAGAATTTATCGTTTTTTTTTGTGTTTGAGCAATCAATTTTCGATTCTTTCTTGAAAATTGCCTGGATTTGCATGCTTAGTTGCTTTTATGTCATTCAAATACAGTCGCCCACAATGTTCAATGCAAAATAGCGCTCAATGTTCAATGCAAAATAGCCCACAATGTTCAATGCAAAATAGTCCACAATGTTCAATGCAAAATAGCCCACAATGTTCAATGCACCAACCCAATAGCTGAACCGTTAAATTGACAATTTTATGTCTATTGGGAAAATTATGATAAATTATTGTTGAAATTTTCAAGAATTTTGTTTTTATTTGCTTTGCTTTGCTATCGCAAAATTCAAGAAGAAAAAGCATTTGTTGATTGAAAAATTACAAATTTAAAGCTTTTCTTTAAAACTTATCAACAAAAAAGTTGACTTAAAACAAACAAAAAGTTTATGCTAAAATTTTTAAGGAAATAAAGTGGCAAAAATTCTCACCTGGAACATTTTCAATCAATTTCGGCATTGGCATTGGTATTCGTATTCGCTCTCTTTTCTGAAAGATGTCAAAACAATTTTGAGATGAAAGGAGAAATCATGAAGGAAAGAAGAAAAAGAAATCAATTTTGTAACTAACAAGAGCTAATTAGAGGTGAAATGAGGAGTTGAATATGGGGAAAAAACGTACATTTTCAAACAAACAAAGTATTCACAAGAAAATTGAATTCTTTAACGATTTTATTTACTTTATTCATGAGAAAATATTAAGATAAGCTAAGTGGCTTTAATTCATAAAATGCATCAATGTAACATTTGAGTTTTAATAAATTTTAGCACTAATGTACTAAAGCTGTGTACTAATG